TGCTGAACAATACATTTTGGGATCTTTATTTAATATTTATTGAAATTACACCAGCTGCGTTTCCATTACGAATGTGCAAAAAAAGGGTTTGTCCGTCTTCTTCGTCGTTTCTGCCAGTAGCAACATTCAGTTGTTGGTCAATGCAACCCATGTGATGCAAAAAAAGTTTCCGTTGCAGTTTTGTGAAATACTCTAATTTCAATCCGGCCGACAAACTACCTCATCCCATCGCAATTTTCACAATTGAAACTAATGCACAAAAGACGTTAGCTTAACCCAGTTCTGATTCCTGGTTAAAACAACCAAATCTTTGCATTATTTAGCTTCTTCAGCAGCTCCACAGACAACAGTTGTGGATCTAATTTCTATTCCCCATCAGTCCTAACCTTGTTCTGATCTCGACGGCATGGAGTGCAGGATGTCGTGTTCTTACTCTGATGAGGGAGCGCAGAAGAAGAGCAGCAGCGTTGGAGACACGGAGTATGTGGACGGAATAATTATTGCAGATTCGATGGGCCGAGGTGGAAGATTGCAGGGACTCAGCTCCTGATTGCAGCCCGTTCTGTTACATAAGTGGAGTCGCTTTCCGAGCCCTCGCTTCCCCAGGACGTCGTGATTGGGTCGGATGGGAGAAGCCTGTTTCTGGGCCTCTTGATTGGACATTGTTCAATTTCTGCTGATACTTTGGACCACACGTTGATCCGTAGATTGACCCAAATTTTGCCTGATTTACCCAGGATTTACAAATCGCCATTGGATTCTGTGTTTGTGAATATTGCCAGTGTTCTTGCTGCTTTGCATTCTGCCTCTATTCCATCCTGCAGTTTGCAACATTTGCCCTCTGTACCTTCTAAACATTCTCTAAATCCACCAGATTATGAGTACGTATTTTAGAAACATCCATTTTAACTCAAGTAAGTAATTTCAGAACTCTAATACTCCTCTCATTAAGTCATTCTTTTGTTTGTATAGATGTATAGATGGATTCAGAGAGATGCCCACGGTTGAAATTCTTTAATTTCTTTCTTCTAGCTAGACACCTGTAGGTCAAAATTTTAAAACTATTCACAATTTCACCCACTTCATCAAAAAACCCCGTTATCCACTCCAGAGCATGATGCCATCTCTGCCATATTTTACAGTGTTTTCAGTTCTTTGAATTTAAATTAAGTCTAAAAGGTCAACTGTTAATCTAAACACCTAATCTGATTTTTTTCCCCCCATCAATTTAAAAAAAAACAACAAGACAGGACGATAACACATGTATACAATGTAATGGGAGGTTTTTATTTCAGTACTCTTCCCCTGACTGATACCTTTGAACAATGATCAGTGACCCTTTGTAACTTGTTTGCTAACTGTAGCCTTAGCGTCAGGATGCAATTTTCAAGAAACTCCTCCAAGAAAAGTTTTATTTTATTTCTGGTAAATATAATTTCCTATTTGTTATTATAATATATTAAATTAATAGTTCACGCATATGCAACTGGGTTATTATTTATTTTTTTGTTGCCAGTTTCCATAATAAACAGATTAGTTTTTCATTTAGACTATACTGGATTAAGCCTGTCACAAGAACAAATATTGCTGGATGATAAATTGTCCCAGACGTTATCGCGATAACTGATAATATTGTTGTTTTGAGACCATGTTCAAGTCATATAATCAGTAAACATTAATTTCTTACAAACATTTAACACAGAAAATGTAAAACATATTAAACGTCCAAAAGAAATCAACAAAACAAGCTAAACAACAAATGAAATGGACATTAAAGCCTCTGTAAAGAAAATTGTCCTTCAAAAAAGGGATTTTTTTCATCCAGTTTTTGATAGAAAGAGACGTACAAGAAAAATTATTGAGCTCGTTTTAATTTATCGTGCAATTAACTGGTTTATTGTGACATTATCTTGTCAAATAAAGCTGGTTTCAGGCTTTCTACATCACAACAGCCTTTCATTTTAGCATAGCTCTGCGTATGTTTTAGTCTTCCTGTAAGTATGACTTACACTACGTTAAAGAAGGGTGCTTTTATTGTTGTGCCAATCGAAAAACAGCACCGAGCTCAGGTTCTGCTCGCCTTAACGACGAGCACATTCGACGGACGAGGGAGGGGGGATAAAATAGTTGATAATTGCTGCATTGATCGACCACAAATGACACAGATGGTGCTGGAAGGTTTCAATGTGGAAGACGTACATGCAATTACTGCAGTACTGTGGGACCCAATCACTGCGCTTGTGCCTGACTGGTTGCCTGCTGGTTTGTTTTTCATGGTATTTTATTTTTTTTTTTTTCATGTTTTGTTGTTTTTTTCCTTTCCAGTATGTCATCTGATTAAGTTAGTGTTGGGTGGCGCTCATCTGAGGAAATGGAGCTGTGATTGTTTCAGCATGCGGGTTTGGGATGCCGCTTTAACCCTCGTGCCGCTCATTAGGGGGGAAAGACGGGAAAAGAGAAATGACACCTAATATTCTATGATTGCTTGGTGAATGTTCGGCTGGTGGAGTTGTTTCTCCTCGTGTGGGTTTTAAGCTGTCCTGATAGTTCACTCCGGTCCATAAATCTGATTCACCGCCAGGTAATCGGATAACGGCCCTCCGCTCCGGTCCTTCGGGATCGACCGATCAAACTCTACCGGGTTAATGGCGTGGAAATCGGCGTGCTTTTAAAAACACTTCCTTTTCATTGTTAGAGGAGAGTTTCGTTATTGAAGAAACATATGGAGATCGTCATCATCATCACCGCAGACGTCGTTGTCTCTTTTGGGCTTTTAGTGAGCCGGTCTGTCTTTGGTTGATTTTAAAGCCAACGATTATTCTATCCATTATGCTGAAGATTAGTCAGATTTTTTTCAGCTAACCACTTAAACCTTTTTTTTAAGAAATGCATTAAAAGATGCAAATAAACAAATAAGTTATTTCTTAAAAATACGATAATAAACATTTTATTGCCTAAAATGCAATGATGATATTCCTTTATTGTAGTTTTCATCCTTGGTCGTAAAAGATGAATATGCAGCTAAAACAATGTTTCTAACATTTCTAACAAAATTGCAAGAATAATATGATGTTATTTTCATAATACTATGATTTTATACTCAAAGTATGGCTTTATTCTGATAATGTTAGGAATTTATTTGTGTAATTTTATTAATTTCTTATAATGTTATGACTTTATTTTCGTAATATTGATTTTATTAAAATTAATTAAAAAGGTAAGGTTTTTACCTTTTTTATTGTTTCTTATTCTGATTCTAACATTCTGCCATTCTCTAACAAGCAGCCAAAATCAATTAAAAAAAAAAAAAAACCAGGGCATGCAAACATATGAGCACAACTATAAACAGGTTGGCATATTAAAGCCGATCGGCTAAACAATTGAGAAAATATAAAAACTGGACATTTACACATCATCATTACTGCACAGTTCCATGTATGTGTTTACTTATTTTTCAACTCGGTTACACATGATAAATTTTGCATTGTGTGATCAACCTCCTCAATTACTGTCTTTTTTTTTAAACAGGAGCATCAAGCACACTCTCCAGAAAGTGACATAAATGAACTTTTGGACATGGAGTCACTCTGGGACTTTAAAATGAGCTAAAGTGTGAAAGAACCAGGCAGACTGACAAAAAAAAAACCCCCACTAACTTTATGGCTCAAAATGAGATGTTTTATCATCTCTACTAATTTCTTTTGCCGTTATAAAAGTGGTGCCTTGCGACACGAAATGAAAACTAATGTCCTGACAGAAATGTGACAGGCGGCCAAGAAAAGGAGGACCGTGGTGTGTGTCAGCAGGGGCGTCCTTTACACAGCCTGATCCGCTTGTCAAACAGTTAAAGGACACGTTTTCCTGTCCAGAGTCCTCCCACTCGCAGCTGCTCCCAAATAATCAGCATGTGTCTCATGTCCTGTGTGCGTATTTATGCATCGATGTGAGAGTTTTTACTCTTTAGCTCTACCTGGGTATTTCCTCCAGTAAGCAGTTTCAGTGTCTGTCCAGTCGCTCCCTCTTCTTATTGAGACGTTTCCTCCTGGAAGCAGCAGTTGTCTGCTTGTGCTGGGGATCACAGTGTGGCTCCGCCGTCGTGCCAATTTGAGACTCCTTTCGGCCAAAGAAAATTCAAATATTTCTTTTCTTCCCACACTGAGATAGTCCAGTGTCTAAAATGGAAAGATGGAAGCTGATTCCCCAGAGATAAACGTTCCCACGTTTCAGAAAGGCTGAAAAAGCCTCAGCAGATTTCATGTGGAAGGTTCAGTGACCTCTGTGATTGACGGCGGCGTGTGAGGGCCCTTATAGATAGAAGAAAAAAAAGGAGGAGTACATTTCTGCCAAATATCTCAGAAATTGTTTTCGAGAATTTTTCAGAAAAATGTGGACGTCTGTGTTTGTAAAGTCGAAACTTTGCAAGAAAATCTCAGGATTTCAAGATTAGTCTGAGAAATTTTCTAGAAAAAAACATGGAGGTTTCTGAGTTTGAAAATGTGAGAGGAAACACTTAATCTCAGACATTTTCAATACAAAACTTGGGAATTTTTAAGTTTGAATAGTTGAAAGATTTTGAGGAAAAAACTCAAATTTTGAGATTTATGGAAATGTTCAAGAAAGAAAAATCAGAAATGAGAGTTAGAAAAGTCAAAACTTTACTAGAAACCACTGCAAAACTTTGAGATTAAATTTATTGACATTTCCATGTGTTTTGGAAAATTTCTAAGCTGAATCTCAAAATTTCTCAGTTTTCTTTCTTTTTTTGTGTGTGCAAATTTTAGACTTTTCAAACTTGGAAAATTCCAGTTTTCTTGATTATCCTCAAAATTTCTGGCATTTTTGGCATTAGCAGCAGGCGTCTTGCTGCTTTCTCCTCGTCTGAGGGAAGTTTGTTTTGAATGTTTATTAGATTTTTGCGTTTCTTTTGGGGGGGGTGTGGGGGGTGGAGGTCGTGCTGAGACAGTAATTAATTTCTGCTGTGCTTTGGCTCGTGTCTCCAGATGGCCCTGTGATCTGGCGGATGCTGACCTACCCCCCGACTCGCCGAGCTCTGGTGGTGGGATGCGGCCTTCAGATGTTCCAGCAGCTTTCGGGAATCAACACGATCATGTGAGTGTGAATGCGAGGCGTGGGAAACAGTTCGCATCGACAAACATGCTCTATATTTGCAGTAAACGCACAGCAGGGGCAGTTGCAGTCACTTTAGGCTTTTTATAATTTATTTGCACAATTGTTTTTTTTTTTTTGTTGTTGTTGGTTTTTACTTCAAGGTGGGCTGATGACATAAACTTTTCTGCCATGTTTATGGCATTTTTTAAATAGCAGTGGAG